CACTTTGTTTTTGCCTCCTTACAACCGTCGGGTAAACCAGGGGCTCGTTCTGGTCTTCCCGTTGTTACTGTTGCCCTTGGGAATAAACCTTTCCACTGCCTCCTTGCATTTTGTTGTTACATATTCCATCATTTCATTTACTGGCTTTCCTGCCAGTTCTCTGTCCCACTGGACCTCCCGCAGGAAGTTCTTCAACCTTTTGTAGTCCCCTCTTTTATAGTCAGGCTTTTCCCATTCAGCTCCTGTTATTCTCTCCACTTGCAGCTCTACTATGTATTCAAAGCACAGAACCACGTGGTCGCTAGCTTCTAGGGGACTCTCATGGGTTGATGTCCTCAATGTCTGAGCTGCCCAGGGTGAAACAAGGTCCAATCTTGCTGGTTTCCCTCCTCCCCTCTCACTCTGGTAGTGTCCTTAACATGTTGGTGCATGAGGTTTTCCAGCACCACGTCCAACATCCTGGCTCTCCATGTTTCGGGACCCCCATGTGGCTCCAGGTTTTCCCAGTCAATCTCCCTGTCGTTGAAATCCCCCATAACCAGCAACTTTGCTCTGTTGGAGTGAGCTCTTCTTGCCACCTCAGCAAGTGTGTCCACCATTGCTCTGTTGCTCTCTTCATATTCCTCTCTTGGCCTCCTGCAGTTCTGTGGTGGATTATACATCACTGCAATGACCACTTTGTGTTCCCCAGGCTGAAGTGTACCTGCTATGTGGTCTCTTTCTCCCGTCTCATCTATGCCTTCCATTTTCTCGAATTTCCATCTGTTTTTTACAAGCAGAGCAACCCCACCTCCCCCCCTGCCCCTTCTATCTTTCCTCATGATCTGGTATCCTGGTGGGAAGATTGCATCTGTTATTGTCTCCATGAGTTTTGTTTCTGTAACTGCTATGATGTCTGCGGACTTCTCATTGATTCTTTCTTGCCATTCCTCATGTTTATTCGTTAATCCATCTGCATTTGTGTACCAAACCTTCAACTTCTGTTCTAATACTGTAACTGTGGTGCGGGGGGGGGTGGAAACAGAGGGATTGGTGTGTGATGGTTGGTTTGGATTGTTCAGTTGCCTTGGGGGTGTCGTGGCTGGAGTCCTTCTGCAGGTGTTTCTGGGGGGTGTGCTTGTCCTTCCATTTGATCCTGGGTTATTCTGCTCTCCTTTTCCATTTCCTCCCATTTCTCCTTTCGTTTTTGAACTCTCTTTTTCATTGTCTTCCTTTCGTCCTGTGTTCTGTCTCGATCGAGGTACACACTCCGGAACTCCTGCTTGCCTCTCAGCCGTGCTTTCTCCTGCAGGATCATGGTTCGGGTTGATTCTGCCTTGAAAATTACTTTGAGAGGCCGATTCCTTTTCTTTGTGAACCACCCGATTCTCCAAAAATTTGCCACCTGGGTCATGTCCCCCTCGCCTATCACCTTCATGATATCTTCAATTGCTTTTTTCTCCTCCTGCTTTCTTTCATCATAAGTTTCCCCTTTAGCTTCGTCTAGCCCATAGACAAACACGGATATCTCCCTTTCCACCTCCCACTGTGACTCCCATTGCATCCTCTGATGTGTTTTAGTTCCTTCCCATGGAGTGTTCCTTCCTTCAGCCCCTTCCCTAGTTATGGCCCCTATGCTTCTTGGTTTGTCCTTCCTGCTCACCTGTTCCTGGCCCCCACAGGTATCTGGTAAGATCCTTGCACATGTCCTAGTTCCTTAAATGTCTTCCAACCTCTCGTTCTGTCCTAGTGTGCTCCCTGTCTTTGTTTTGGCCCCATGTGGGTTTGACAGGACCTCTGCATACAGTTTAGTTTCCATGCTTCCTTCAGACCTGTTGTCTGTGTTTGATGTAGCCCTTGCCGATACTACTTCTGTAATATCTTTGTCTCTGTGCTGTTTCAGATGTCTCAGCTCCTCTTCTAATCTCTCTATCTTGATTTCTGCTGCTGTGGCCTGTTGCTTCCACCTTCTGCATTCTGCTGCTAACCTCTCTTCCATCCTCCTTTCCAGCTCATCTAGTCTCCTTCCCCAGTCCTTCCCTCCTTTTTTTGAGCTCTACCTCCCATTCCTCCCTCCCAGATTCGTCCTTGGAGCCCCTTGTCCTCATCCTGGTTCTAGGTTCCCCCGTTGCTCCACAGAAGGGGGGACGGGTGGTTAGGGGAGAGGAAATAGATGGTTAGGAGGAGAGGGGATGGATGGTTATGGGGGAGGGGGAGGATGGTTTTAGAGGGGTAGAGATAGTTGGGGGAGGGGGTTAGATGGTTTGAGGGAGAGAGGGGATGGATGGTTATGGGGAGGGGGAGGATGGTTATTGGAGGGAGGGAGGTAGTTCGGGGATTGGACGGTTTGGGGAGGGGTTAGGTGGTGTGGGGGAGGGGTAGGTGGCTAAGGTGAGGTGGTTAGGGAAGGGGGAGAGGTGGTTAGGGGAAGGGGGTACGTGTTTGTGTCAAGTGGTGGAGGGTGTGTGTGTGGTGTGTGTGTGTGTGTGTGTGTGTGTGTGGTGTGTGTGTGGTGTGTGTGTGGTGGTGTGTGTGGTGGTGTGTGTGTGTGGTGTGTATGTGTGGGGGTGTGTGGTGTGGTGTGTGGTGTGGTGTGTGTGTGTGTGTGTGTGTGTGTGTGTGTGTGTGTGCGAGCGTGCTCTCATACATGTGTGCAAGTGTGTATGCGTGCGTGCCCGCATAATTTTTAATTGTTCATACTGGACCACTACCTCTTCTGCTCACTCACTTTAATCTGCTTTATCTTCACTTCTCTTTATTCCCCTCTTCCATCCACACTTTCTTTACTCAGCTTACTACTCCTTTTTATACTTTTTCGCTTTGGCCCATTTCTCCTCTCTCAACCATCTTTCAGTTCCCCACTATACTTTTTTCATATGTCTATGGTAATTTCGTGTTTTGCTCACTGCGTCCTACCCCCTCTTCCTCCCTACCAGCCACTCTGAAGTATGTTGAGTTTTCCAGGACTCCCCACGACCGTTCAGGTATTCTCTTCCCATCCCTTTCCCTGACTCCCCTCAACTCCCGGCCGAAGGGGAACAGGGAAAGGGAGTGAGAGGAACACAAGAGAGCAGAATCCCAGGAGCTGTTTTGCATATAGACGAAGGCTTTGCCCCTGCCACGAACGGCACAAGTTTTATTCCCAACCTTTCCCTGCCATTCCATCCCCTTTTCTTTCATTCCTTTCCTTCCCCACCCCTACATTCTCCCCTCCTCTCCCCTCATCTCCGGCTGGCATCATGGGATCTGTGTTTACATGAGAGTTGACATGTGTCTTTTCATACTTTGATCACACACAACACTCACGTCATCCTGATTGCTGTGGATGCTGCGTCAGTCATTTGTTGTGCAGAATGCAGCATCACCAATTTGCTGTGGAGGATGTCAATCACTTGAGAAGATTGTTATAGCAATCACATGTTGTAGTTGATGTGTAAGCAGCTTAGTGAGTCTTGTCCTTTCTCTAGAGGATGTTGTGTAAGTCATTTAATATGGAAGGAGTCAAGTCAATGTTGCAGACTCGTGAGGATTAAAATCAACAGTTCAGTCCAATTGGGTAACCTTATATGACCAATAAAAGCCTACTCATCTTTATTGCTTAAAAAATATGTAATACTCTTATATAGGTCTCCCCGTCTCAACAAAATCTGAGAGAAGCATTTGTTGAACTGAATTAATAAGGGGTGTCAGATTTGTAATTCAGCTAAAGAGGGGTGTCAGATTTTTAATTCAGCTAATGAGGGGTGTCCGATTTTTAATTATATTAAATAAACATATGAAGAAAACGATAAAATAATTCTCAGGAAAGAAACTGACGCCTCGTATACCTCCGATCACAATCCCTCTAATTGCTGATTTATTTCGACAATTCTGTAACTATCGATGGTTATTTTAAATATGATTCTGCTGCATTTCCAGGCTGCTGAAACATGATTTGTCACTTTACTTGTTCTAAATAAATAGATGTATCAGAAGTACTTTTTCAGACTATGGTTGTGAGCACAGAGGACAAGTATTTAACGCTAATACATCCTTCTGAAGGTTAATCATATATTCTTTGCAGCTGAGAAACATAAATTAGATTTCAGAATCTAAGAAAGCATTTACTTAATAATAAGGATTTTGTTTATATTTACTAACTTTAAACTTTGATCGTGTGTGTATATATACATTATATATTATATATATTATATATATATATATATATATATATATATATATATATATATAATATTATATATTTTATATATATATTCATATATTCATATATTCAAAGTTTTAAAGTTTAAAGTTAGTAAATATAAACAAACTGCCAATATCCCAACTCCCTCCTTTAAAGTGCAGACATTGTACTTTCCAATTCCAGGACTCAAGTCCGGCTAACCGGTTTCCCTGAATCCCTTCACAAAATATTACCTTGCTCAAACTCCAACACCTCGTCAGGTCCCAAAAACCATTCGTCTCCATTTACTCCTACCTAACACGCTCACGCACGTTTGCTGGAAGTCCAAGCCCCTCGCCCACAAAATCTCCTTTACCTTCTCCCTCCAACCTTCTTGGGGACGACCCGTACCCCGCCTTTCTTCCCCTACAGATTTATACGCTCTCCAAATCATTCTACTTTGTTCCATTCTCTTTAAATGACCAAACCACTTCAACAGCCCAAGCTTCACACCCATATAAGAGTGTTGGTACCACTATACTCTCAAACATTCCCTTCTTTGCCTCCATGGATAACGATTTTTGCCTCCACATATACTCACCTTTTTTCCTTCATCAATTCTATGGTTAACCTCCTCCTTCATAAACCCATCCGCTGACAAACATCTCAAATGACTCATCCCTGATTCTATGACAAACATAGTAACTCAACATGATCTTTGCATGTTTTTTTCATGACTAGTTGAATATCATACATGTGGTTTTGTATGGTTTCATAAGTAAAATTATTATTATTATTATTATTGTTATTATTATTATTATTGTTATTATTATTATTATGCTAATACTCTGTATTTTAGGCTCAGCGTGGAACTTCAGTCAACAAAGAGGGATGTAGATAAGCTGTGAACAATTAAATATAAGACTATCAAGCAACAGGACGTAGAGACGTCACCCTCAGTGCCAAACCTCAAATACAGTGAAGGATCATCGTAGTAGGTAACGACTAAGACTTTACTACATGAGCGCCAACTCCAAAGCCACCAGCAACAGACATCACTGAACCAACACAGCAAGAGTGAAAAACACTACAGTTTCGTCAGTCGTAGGGAGGAAAAGAATACTTTACCCTGCATGTATCAAAAAGTAGAAGAGGAGGAAGAAAGATTGATGTAACGTCCAGAGCAAAGTTTGGCACTAAATCTCCGATCATGTGTTTCATTATAAGGTGTTGAGTGTTAAAAAATAAAAGATCTGTGGGCGCAAGAAAATGGGAAGCGAGGTAGTGGAGGCAGGAACCATACATATCTTTAAGACGAGGTATGATAAAGCTCACTGAGCAGGGAGAGAGAGGACCTAGTAGCGATCAGTGAAGAGGCGGGGCCAGGAGCTGAGTCTCAACCCCTGCAACCACAAATAGGTGAGTACAAATAGGCGAGTACGTACACACACACACACACACACACACACACACACACACACACACACACACACACACACGCTGTTTAAATATATATGTTCACTACAGGGGAGGTGGGGAAGGGGGATGGGGGGGTGTTAGAAATCAGACCTTAAGGCTTTTCCATATAAATCGTTTTCAGAAACTAGTTCAGTGAACGAGTTAGCTACGGATTCGCTTGAAATTAAAAAAAAAATAAATGGAAGTAAGTACCATGAGTCTTTTAAAACCGAGAATAAGAAACCCTCTCTCGACTTGTAATTCTCTTTAAGCCACTTAAAATCGACAACGCAAATGAAGGCTGGGTAATTTAGGATTAAAAAGCCTTGAACAACAGCCTTGGTGTAGTACCTAGTTTGTTCCATGTCGAACTTACACCGATTCAGTATTTCTTGAAATGCAAGATCTTTCTTGACTTATTTTCTTTTTTTTTCTGCATTAGCCCAATCAATCAGGTGTCCATACAATTTTAAACGTGCGAAAATAACATTTAGATTCTGGTCCAGCCTGGAGTGAATACTGGAGTCTGACTGTTAGTTTCCAGTTGCTTACCTGTTTTCCCCAGATGCAACAGACCAGACAAGGAATGTGGTATAAACCTCCTGCTGCCCCTGATGGCTGCCTCTTACTACGTATTTGACTGTATTTTAAGTCTTACCCCCATAATGATGCGAATGTTGTCTTCAGTAATATTGGCATCATTATGGTGTCGAGAACAGCTCTGCATAATCTGAGAATGTTCATTTAGATTGTTAAACACCTTTATTATCCCTGCATAAATTGTATACTGCACTTTATTCAAATAAAGACTTAGATTTTTTACGTAAAAAAAAAGGGGGGGCTTTTGGAAGTTACTCAGATGAGTGTTAATATTTACAAGATTCCATGGGTCGATTGTGAAAAGAATTACATTGGGGGAACAAGTTATTTTACACATTGATTTAATTAACATAATTAAGTTTTTCACATGGGGGGGTGATAATTAAATATTTGAGCAGACAAGTACAGAGAACCGTAAAATTTATTTTAATGCTGATTTGATGAGGAAATTAGCGAATCAGTTTTCATGAACTATTTTCCGAGGGTCGATAACGTAAATAAGAATGGTGAGTCTTTATTAAACACGTTTCTTATTAAATTTAACAAATATTTGAGGAAGATAAATGACCCAGAAAATGTTTTGTCCGTGACCTTCGTAAATGTTACGTTAGATTCATTCAGACATGGAAAAAAATTAATAAGGTACACGTTTGGCGAGAGCTGTGGATGTGTGAGTATGTTGTGTAAGTTGGGCATGTTGAGTATGTTGTGTATGTTGGGCATATTGTGCATATTGTGTGAGCATGTGTGAATATGCTGACGGTTGGTGCCATTCAACATGGAACAATACGTATAAAAAGAGTAACACAATCATTTAATATGATGCTCATACAATCTGTGTAATGGTAATTAATTAAAAAACGTAAAGTCTGCCAGGAATTTTTATTAAATTATAACCCAGGGTTCGCCCACTCGCTACACACTATGGCTACTCAATATACACCTCACAGACCACACCTCAACCATTGTGTCAACTTATCTTCTCAACTCTCCGAATTGATGACATCACTAGTAAACAATATGTCTTGTAACAATACCATAAACTGTACATTATGTCATTATCATGGGCAGTATGTCTAGCATATGTTGCTCTTATGTTCTACTTCTGGGAGGTGTATTTCAGTGCTCCTTTCTCGTGTGCAACTGACCTGTTTGCATATATTAAGGCCGTCCTGCTAGTTTTCTATCACTTGAAGATGGTCTCTAATTAGACCGAAAATATTCTTTCTTTCTCTTCCAGTGAATAAGGGTCAATATATGTAAATAGGGTGTATATGTCGTATTATTATATAAAATAATTATATATATTTTTATATATATATATATATTATTTATATATATATATATTTAAATATATTATATATATTATATATATATATATAAGATGGGGTCCACCTCTGGTGTAAATTGGGGGGACCCATTGCCTCGGAGAAGTGCATAAAAGACTTCAAGGAAGAATATTTGGATTTCTTCCTGAAGCCGTTTGAATATTCCACTTCCCCTACCATATATAATTTTATTTTATATTATATATATATATTATATATTTTTATATTTTATATATTATTATATAATAATTTATATATATAATATATTATATATATATATATTTATATATATAAAATTATATATTTTATATATTTTTTATATATATATATATATATATATATTTTTTATATATATATATATATTATTATATAATATTATATATATTATGTGTGTGGGTGTGTCTGTGTTTTTTAACAAAAAAATATAAACGAGCCTAAGGGACATTTATACAAAATTGTTAATTTTTTACCCGAGAAACGTGTGCAAAAAAAATCTAATCCTTGCTCATAAATAGTTGTACTCGAGGACCCTAGCATAACAGGTAATTGTGTACAAAATATATAAAGAAAAAAAGAACCATCTTTGTTGTACTCTCTTGAATATGAAATTCCTTGTAATGGTTTACCATATATTGGATAAACTGGTAGAGATTTAACCACGGGAATAACTGAACAAATGAGGTCTGTTAAGAATCATATTATTAACTGGGAATCTGCTTCCATTATACACAGAACTGTATTTACAACCTCACGAAATTTGAGTTTATAGTGATTATATCAAGACCCAGTTTCAACTTGTTACGAGTCCAGTGGAAACCTGATGGTATCACTTCTCTTCCCCTGAGGTCACTTTTTCCTCCCCCTGTGTATATAAGCTTCGTCTCCTGTATATTTATTAGTTTGCCGAAGAGGGCCTTAGTGTAAAGACGAAATATACATTCCTTATAGTAGCTAATCTTTTATTGTGTCCATATGGGTTTGCTTCAAACATACATACATAATATATATATATATATATATATATATATTTATATATATATATATATATATATATATATATATATATATATATTATATATTCCCTGGGAGCGCTAAACCCATAGGGATTATACAGCGCCTGTGGGGAGGGAGGGGGTTTGAAAGGCATTCAGGCTTAATTCAGAGAATTGGAGCACAGATCCAATTCCCTAGATCAAGCGCCCCTCACCAGCGTCAAGGACCCGTAAGGGTGCTAAGCCTTTGAGGAATGAGGTAATCAGGTTTGATCCAACGAAAGGTAAAGATCAAGAGACCTGATTTATTTTTGAAGCTGAACCAGTAGTGGTCGTATATTATTATTATTATAATCAAGGGGGAAGCGCTAAACCCAGAGGATTATACAGCGCCTGGGGGGGGGGATGTGGAAGGCATTCAGGCTTAATTCGGGGAACTGGAGCACAAATCCAATTCCCTAAATCAAGAGCCCCTCACCAACATCAAGGAACCTTCCTTGAGGGGAGTGGTCGTATAGCTCCTGGAAAATGGAAAGCATTCTGAATCGATCCATAGAAAGATGCACATTATTATTATAATCAAGGGGGAAGCGCTAAACCTGGAGGATTATACAGCGCCTGTGGGGGGGATGTGGAAGGCATTCAGGCTTAATTCGGGGAACTGGAGCACAGATCCAATTCCCTAAATCAAGAGCCCCTCACCAACATCAAGGAACCTTCCTTGAGGGGAGTGGTCGTATAGCTCCTGGAAAATGGAAAGCATTCTGAATCGATCCATAGAAAGATGCACAAACAACCCGCATGTAAGAGCAGCTTACGATGACATTTCGGCCCGACTTGGACCATTTATAAAGTGACCGTAAGTTGTACCAAAACGTTCTCATAAGCTTCTCTCTCCTATGTGCCAGTTATTTGTGTATTGTTCCAGACACGGTTTTGTTCCTTTTTGTTCATTATTATAATAAAAAAGAAGCGCTAATTATTATAATCAAAAAGAAGCGCTAAGCCACAAGGGCTATACAGCGCTGCAGGGTAGGAAGAGAGGGTATTGGATGGCAGAAGGGAGGGATGATCAGTAGGTTACAGAAAACAGCGGGGCAGGGGATAGTGCGGGGGTAGAGGGTAGCAAGAGATAAGGTATCAAAATTTGTGAAGCAAGTCAGTTGTCAAAAAGTCAATGAGAGAGTCAGGATGAAAGGTGTGTCCATGAGTGAGAAGGGAAGGTAAAGAGAGAGCAGCGGAGCGAAGACGACGACGGAGGTAAATTCTGCGTGCTCGTTGATAAAGTGGGTAGTCCAACAGAATGTGGCTGACTGATAATGGAGCTTGGCAATTCTCACAGAGAGGAGCAGGGTGCCTCTCCATGAGATATCCACGAGTAAGACGAGTATGGCCAATGCGAAGACGGGAGAGAGTAGTCTCCCAACCTCGACACTGGAAAGAAGCACTAAGTCACAAGCCTCAAGTTTTGTATAGGAGATGGTTAGTTAATGCACTTTAAAGCCTGGGCCATTAAGGCCTCACAACAACCTTTTTACCACTAGAGTATTATTACATTCATGGGAGAGTCCTCAACCCATAAAGGTCATACAGCACCTGGGGATTATTATAATCAAAAAGAAGCGCTAAAATGGCGCCTGGGGAATGAAAGACATTGAGGCTCTAAGGAGTTGGAGCACAGGTCCAATTCCTTCGATCAGAGCCCTTCACCAGCACTAATCCCTGAAACAGGTATCAAACTTACTGCATATACATAAACTGAAATACATCCAGTATACAGCCCCTCACTAGTATCAAGGCACATCCCTGGAGGGGAAACTAATTAAGGCACTTTGCCCATCAGCACCACTTTCACCATTACACATATATATTAAAACACGTTAAATCCAGTGGGTCATATAGCGCTACATTCAGCCTAATAAAATTAAAACACCCTTGATCCCAGAGAGAAGTGTGATGCATTTCCTAAATTACATTCATATAGCACTAAACCTACAGGGGTCATAGTGCCTGTATGTAGTTCTCGGCATTATATTCATTATGAACTAGTGGGTCATACAGCGCTGTTGGCAATGGTTAGTGCGAATGTAAAACTGGAAGCCACAGTAGGTGCAA